GGATTTACGGACACAGTAGAAAAGAATGACCGTGGGTATATTTCAAAATGCCTTGTCTAAGTTTATCTCTGGAGAAGGAGATAAAAAGGGGGATTTGTAGAGTTATATTTGTATTTATTCATGTTAGCAAACTATGGATAAGCTTAAAATGGGAATAATTTGGGTAAAACTGTGAGCTGGATTTGGGGCCTGTTGACATGTGTTTTTGAGGACAAAGGAAGATGGGGGAAGGTGAGAGCATGTCCTGATTTGCATTCAACTTAGATCTAGCTGCAGTGGTTGTGATGTTAAGAGAGGTCCCTTGGGTTTCTCTGGTGGTTATCAACAGTAGCAGTTAAGTGAATACTGTTCAAACAATACCTGTGTTTGTGTTTTATATTGATTTCTCTGTTTTATCCTTTCATAAATGTAAGGACTACAAATGGCTATAAGCATTCTGGGCTGGTTGGAGTAAACAGGGTTTTATTGCTCTGTGGGGGAGGTGTAGGTATGCAGGCCTTGAGACCTTTTGTTGGAAAGTGAGCCTGTTTGGTTTCCTGCTGGCCAGCGTTGCGTCTCCCAATGAGATGACCTGAAGAGATGACCAGCTGACCTAACACCAAACCCCTCCTTCTTACTCTGGTATATATCCGGTGGATCCCTGGCGTTCGGCCTCTTCTTCACATGCTGCCCTCGGGTGAAAGTAGCTCTGCAGTATGCGGACCAGGGCAGGAGTAAGCCGGCATTACTCCTTAAGCATTACAATATAACTGTAATATATCATGTTGTATTGTAATGATTGTATTGCATTGTCATATTGCCATTAAAGTAGATTATTGTTAACGGTTACTTTGTAGATATGGATTCCTTCCTGTATTATAACCAGCTTCATAGGAACGCGCGGAGATTTGAAAAGCGGACCAGTTATCCCTCCAAATCTCTAACAAGAATGAGGTGAAATGTAATAGGTTAAAGAGAACGCCTGTGATGAGCTGATTATATGCAGCTGCGGAGTGAATGTATGAACCCAGAAGTGGAGTGAACCCAGTCTTCCTGAAAGAACTTGCGCTGAGCTTCATTTCAATCTTGAAAAAAAAAAAAAATATAGTTCTCTGCATACTTCAATTGTATTGTGCTATTTTTGAAAAAGGAAAAAAAGAGAAATTACCTAAATGAATATATTCTGAATGGGTGACTGCCAACAACTTGCATTTCAATGACAACTCTAAATAACGATCCTACCTCAAGAAGCATGTCCTTGATTTGCTTCACCGAGATTCATTTTTAATAAAAAGCGATATCACAATAGTAACCAAAGTATTTTTACTCTCACAGTAGCCTCTACTTTGTATCCTCTCAAAGGCTGCTAATTTTGGTCAAACAGCAATTTGCCTAGACAGTGCAACTACAAGGCTGTATTTGAATGACAACAGATGACACTCACCTTAAACTGTCCTTTGTATATTTCTATTTGTCTTAACTGTCGGAACTTGTCCAGGCATGTTAAGTGGGAGTGGACTTGAAATCCTTAACTCAAGGTGTAGAACAATTAAGTTATCAAGCCAATTGCATTACTTACTACAACTTGAATTTTGTTTTAAGTCAATTAACGCAGAAATCAGAGTTCAAATTACACACAATATTAAGTTGATGTAATTACCAACATTATTACGTCAACACAACTTATAAATTAATGTTTGCAACTTAAAATGTTTATCTAAATCAATTAACTCACATTTTTATCTTGCAACCATACATTTAATTAAGTGGAGGTGAAAGGTCGTCTGAATTCGTTTTTAGAGTGTAGAGTGCCACAGTGACACGTCCTAAAACCCGGAAGTAAGCTTCTTCCGGTTCCCTCGACAAAAAAGCAATGCAATTTCTCCATAGGATTTTGGAAAATAGCTCGAAATAAGGTCTGTGGTTGACACCCATTTAACCCTTGACCGCCATAGAAAATGAATGGGTATGAGTGTATTATGTTCATCCTGCAGATGGAACACACACACACACACACACACACACACACACACACACACACACACACACACACACACACACACACACACACACACACACACACACACACACACACACACACACACACACACACACACACACCACACACACACACACACACACACACACACACACACACACACACACACACACACACACACACACACTTTATTTGGTTCCACAAATTATATTACATAAGACAGGGAATCAAATATATCGGGGCTAAGCAGCACAGAACACTTAGGGGAACACATAGCATCTCCTTCTCCACACGGCTAAGCTGCCAATAATAGCTGAAACAGAGCAATATTTGGCAATTTGTTTGGCTTTTCTCTTTGACATTCCAGCAATTCTCAGACCAATCATGGTGCATTTATATACATGGCCAAGACTTCCGAATATAAGTATGCTGTATCTACACTTGTACCCAAAGCTGGTTATCACATCGAGCAGTGGTTGGTATTTGATATACTTGTCCTGGAAAGCCTGGTCCATGTACAGGTCAAAGGCACAGCCTACTTCTAATATTAGCACCTCCCTGTGGTTGGTGTCAACAAAAACAACATCAGGTGTATTTGGGATGTTAGCAAAGACATCATTGGTAAAACCAAACCATTCTGGTAGCACTCTAGCATGCTTGTACATTGCTGCGCTAGATGGTAAGATGTTTCGTACCGCATCAGACACAATGTCCACAATACGGTCATGACGGGCTATGTACAGGCGTTTGTAAGCATTACATCCATTTGTTATGTGTGCAATGGATTCTAGGTGTTGTTGTGAATCCTGATGGTTTAAACAGAATGGAGTTTGAATGTGAGGGTACCAGGTGGACAGATTGTACTTAGTGGGTAATACCTGCAGTCTTACTTTGATGGTAAATGTCAGAACATCCTCACCAACAGCGGCGTTCTTAAACACTGAGTGTGAGACTGAGTGGTTAGCAAACCCCAAACAGGCTAGCTTTCCCTGTAGTCTGAGTCCACACCAGTGCTGCCTGATCTCAGACTGCTTCATGCTGAGCAGAACCCTCCTTGCAGAGTCTCTGTGCAGTTCCACAGTCTCTTCCTGAGGTGTTGTGATGTCGGCCTTCACAACCACACTGGGGTCAGTGATCAGTTCATCAGAGACAGGGACTTCAGTCTGTGTGTTGAGTCTTGTCCATTTCAGCTGGACTCCAGTCCGATTGCAGAGGTCATTGAGATCTGGCCAGTCAGACCAGACCCCGAAGCCCCTGGCCTGAGAGTCCAGTTTCCCAGAGTATTTCCTCCTGAAGCCGAGGAAGTTGTTCTGGTCTGCGCTGGCTAGGGGGATCTTCCTTCTTTGTAGATCCAGCAGGAGAGAGGCCCTGGCCATTTCTCTTACGGTGATATCATCATTGTTAAGCATGTGGATCAGGTGGGCTAGCCTGGTGGCTATAGGTCCACTCGACATTGGGGACTCCCAGCCCCCCCTCTCCACATGGGAGAAAGATGATGCCTCGTGTGGAGTGTGTGTCTCATCTATTTTTTGGGGCGTTTTAGATTTGGTTTACAAAAGTAGTGAAATAATATGAATTACACTATAGGCCTATATAGATGAAATGAAATGTTATTCATGTATAAAATAGTTCCATCCCTCTGCTTTCACCACAGAAAAGTTACATCAGGACTGATTCATGACTTCATATTCCATACCAAGGTTCATGTGATGTGTACAAATACAAATTGAGCATTAGAACTTTTTTTTTTCAACCAACAATTTATGTTAACATAAGAAACTGTAAAATCTCAATATTTACAATATCAGAACTTTTTCAACCAACTATTCATTATAAATGTAAAGACAGGGGGAGCAGTGTCATGGTCTTTGTCTGTCTTCCAGGACAGGGGGTCTGGCTGCTGTGTAGGTGATGGTGCATGGGCTGCTGGTGGCTGTCGGAGGGAGGTAGGTGTGATTGTCCCAGGTTGATGCTGGTGGCCGTGTGGGAGGTACGTCTGCTAGGCGAGACTTCTTTGCTGGCTGGGTTGATCGTGATGGCTGTGGTGGAGGCCTTTGTCCCGAGGTGTATCTTAATCTTGTGGCAGATGGAGATGGAGGCCATGCACTGTAGTGATGATGGTACTCTGGTCCTTTGCGGTGAAGGCCCTTGAGCCATGGTAGATCTTGACCTGGGGGCAGGGACAGATGGAGGTTCTTGCTGCTAGGCCCAGGCAGCTGTGAAATCTGAAAAAAAATATAGGACAATAATTACTACTAAGTTTGTTAAAATAAAGTTCAAGTGGAATGTTTCTCAAGCACAAATAACAATGCACAACTCAAAATAAAATTCTCTCTCTCTCTGGAGGAGGAGGAGGAGGAGGAGGAGGAGGAGGAGGAGGAGGAGGAGGAGGAGGAGGAGGAGGAGGAGGAGGAGGAGGAGGAGTTGGTGCTAGCTCGGAGCTAACGGAGATTAGAAGCCGTTTCAACAATAAGGAGAGGGAGAGCTCTCTCCTGTGGGACTGAGAGAGATAACGTCAGCTCAGGGAGGTTTGGTCATCATTTCCATCTATGTAATATTAGTTGTATATAAAATGAGTTAATAAATCATTCCACTGTGTGGTCAGTACAAAATAAAAAAACACAATTTGAAAGGAGAGTGATTAGTAACATATGCATAAATAAAAAGAAAGAATGCAGACTAGGTAAGATAAAGATAGGAGAGAGAAGTTGATCAAATATGTGTTATTGCTTGTGAGCAAGCATGATTTTTGATGATTGAAATATATACTAGTACCCCCCCTAGAGGATGTGAGGTCATCACAAATAAAACAGGTTCACATGGATAGGATACTAGATAAGTGTGCACTCATTATATACACTACATATTTTTCTTGGATTTGTTAACACTATAGTCCCTAATATATTTGTAGAAAGGCAGGAAATGTTATTAAATTGAGAAAATGTTTCATTGCCCCCTGTTTTGTGTCCCCCCCACTTCTCAAACCAAAGTTACACCCGGCCCGTCTACACTACAGGCGTCGAAAAAGCTTGAAGCTGGGCGTGTCTGAGGCTTGGCGCTTTCTCGCGACCAACAACCAATCAGGAATCTCCCGCCCGCCCCCAGCATACAAAGCAAAAAAAAGCCCGGTTCTTCTACACTATTGCCAAAATGGATGCCGGTTTTGTAGCAACGGTAGCGTTGGTTTATGCAATGTCTCGCAGGAGGCCACGTATAGTGCGTCGCTGTTGGGTACATACAATACTCAGAAAACGTCTGCAACGGGGGGAATACCACGTTCTTGTCCAAGAGCTCCGCCTGGATGGTGTACTGTTTCAGCAGTACTTCAGGATGAGCAAAGACGCGTTCGACGAGTTGCTCGGAAAAGTCGGTCCACTGATTGCAAAGGCAGACACCCGTATGCGTTTGTCAATCGGACCCGCCGAGCGACTCGCCATCTGCCTACGGTACGTTTTGTGTATTTCTACTTCTTTAATATGACTCTGTATATAAAGAGATAGAATGCATGCAATGGATGAATGAAGTCTGTGATGTAGTTCAGATGAATGACATTAATTAAGATAGCTAGGTAAATGCAGTATTGCTCCCCTGTGTGTGTGTCTGCCTGTGGTGTATGTGTGTATCTGTGGTGTGTGTCTGTGTGATGTGTGTGTCTGTGGTGTGTGTGTCTGTGATGTGTGTGTCTGTGGTATGTTGGTGTGTGTGTCTGTGTGATGTGTCTGCCTGTGGTGTATGTGTGTGTCTGTGATGTGTGTCTGTGATGTGTGTGCCTGTGGTGTGTCTGTGTGATGTGTGTGTCTGTGTGATGTGTGTGTCTGTGGTATGTTGGTGTGTGTGTCTGTGATGTGTGTGTGTGTGTCTGTGGTGTGTGTGTCTGCGTGGCGTATAACTTTAAAAAAAAAAATCTTGTATATTTTTTCTCAGGTACCTGGCAACCGGTGACTCGTACAGGACCATAGCATTCAGCTATCGGGTCGGGCATGCAACAGTGGCTGTCATCGTCAAGGAGGTTGCGGGTGCGATCTGGACCGCGCTGGTCGAGGAGACCATGCCGGTACCACAGACGGAGGACTGGAGAGCCATCGCTGCTGGGTTCCAGGAGCGCTGGAACTTTCCAAATTGCGTTGGTGCCATTGATGGGAAGCACGTGGTGATCCAGGCTCCGGCAAATTCTGGGTCCCTCTACTTCAACTACAAGTCCAGCCACTCCTTGGTACTGCTGGCTGTCGTGGATGCCGAGTACCTCTTAAGGGTAGTGGATGTCGGAGGTTTTGGAAGGAGCAGCGACGGTGGGAGCCTGCGGAATTCCGCTTTTGGAGAGAGCCTCAGAGATGGCAGTCTGCAGCTACCACCTGACACCGTCATCCCAGGAGGAGAGCGGCTGGGCCTTCTTCCCCATGTGTTTGTTGGAGATGAGGCTTTTCCGCTGCTGGACAACCTGCTGTGTCCGTTCCCTGGACGTCAGCTCACGCGTGAAAGGAGGCTGTTCAACTACCGCCTCAGCCGGGCCAGGTTGGTGGTTGAATGTGCGTTTGGCATCCTCTCATCTCAGTGGAGAATGTTCCGGCGTGTCATCACCACCAGCCCGGAGGTAACAGAGTTGTGTGTGAAGGCCACCTGTGTGTTGCACAACTTCCTCCGCAGGAAGACAATAGGAAGGTCATCACGCACACCTGTCGTCGCAGAGTCGAGTGATGAAGCTCCAACCCTGCGCGATGCACCTATGATGGGCTCAAACAACGCCACACGCCGATCCATCCAACTGCGGGAGACCTTCTGCTCCTATTTGAATGAGGAGGGTGTAGTGTCATGGCAGCATAAAGTGGTGTAGGGTCACCATGGCTCCTCCAAACCAAAAGCTCTTTTAAGAGCTACCCATTTTCTTTAAAGAGCAAATATTCCAAATGAGCCATTTTAAAATCAAACATTCCTAATAAACATGTTTCTTGAATTGATATTATTATATTATGATATGACAAACAACCTTTTTCTTTCAGCCCTGTTTTTACTGATAAACCACTCATAATTTCAATAGGTTTTCACATGACCAATTACAGAAGAAAGCACATTATATATACCGACATACATGAAGCTTCTGGTATGTTGCAACTGACAAACCACATGAACAAGTGAAGACACAGTATAGCCATAACATACTTGAAATAGCAGACTTCGTTCAAACGGGGACATCTCCCTCCCCCTCCCCCGTGTTTTGCCCCGGACCTCAGCATTCTCCTCCTGGCTGACTGCTGCTGGCTGACTCACTGTCTACCTGGCTCTCTTCCTCTGCCACCAGGGTGGATGGAGGCAGGGTCTGCCGGGGGACATTGCTGGACGTCTCACGGTCTATGATGAATGGGGTTAAAAACCCCATCACTGCCATGAAAGCCAGGGCTTGTACCCCCCTGCCCCGCTTCTTTTGGCCTCCTTCTCCATATTCTTTTCCTTGCGGAACCTGTCCCTCACTCTTCCATCTCTTCTTGCAGACATTATCTAATAAAATGAAATGAAATAATAAAGTTAATAAATAATAAAGTGAATTTCTTGAATTTACTAAATTATTCCTCCATTAATGAATGCTATTTTTATGCTACATTCCATGCTGGCTAAATATACTGTCTATGCTTGATAGCTGTGAATCAAATCAAGTTTGATTTATATAGCACATTTATAAACGATTTTTGGTCGAGCCAAAGTGCTGTACATATAATAAAATTAGCCTACAGTAGAAACACTTTACAGCAAATACAGCACAGATTGTTCAGAATATCAGTATGAGAAAAACGACACCCTCTGCATGTATTATATGTTATGCTTATACTTATTATATTATATATAATATTTTTTTATTAATATATATATTATATGTTATGCTACATTACTAGCTGGCTAAATATACTGTCTATGCTTGATAGCTGTGCATGTATTATATGTTATGTTATATATTATGCTTATTATAATGTTTTTTTATTATTATATTAATATATATTATATGTTATTATGCTACATTACTAGCTGTCCATTCAATGCTAAAACGAAGTAAACTGGATATAAACTCCCCAAACAGTTGAAAACCTACCAGTTTCACCAACTGTCTCTGCCACCTCCCGCCATGCCTGGTTCCTCCGGTTTAGGTCCCGGTAGGTGAACAGAGTACAGTCATACAGGACTGGGACATTTGCCACAGCAATGATTAATTTGTCCTCCATTTTATGACATATGAAAAATAGTCAAGACCTGCGGGATCAGCATACACGCGGTTTGATTGGCTAGCGCTTGTACTGGCGGGAATTGCAAAAACGGGATTTGATTGGCTGACGCCAGCTTCGAGCCTCAAAAGTTGAACATTGTTCAACTTTTGACGCTCGCGACGCTTGCAACGCCTTGCCAAGCTACCCACAATGCAGTTCGGCGAAGTTTGAAAGTATCCTACGTCACCCCATTCAAACGAATGGGCGAAGCGTTGAAAGCATTTTTTGACGCCTGTAGTGTAGACGGGCCGTTACACCCACACAATGCAAGTACACTATTACTGTAATATTTAGATTTACCTATCTTCAAATGGATCCTTGTTGTTGTATTCTTCTTCTTCAGGAGAGTAGAAGCCTCCAGGTTCTGATGCTCCATCTCCACTGCTGCTAGTGTTACAAGTCCGCTGTGCAGAGCTGGTAATCAGATAATAAGCCTGTTGATCAGGAGAAAAGAATGAAGCAGAGGGAAAGTTGCTGCCGTTTGTGTGGTCGTTCTAGCCAGAATGTATTAAACAAATTAATAAATTCACTTACAAATTATATCTGTTTTCTCTATTTATCTAATCATTCTTTGTGTAACCGGTCTGGTTTGACGCCACATGTATCTCTGCGTTGTGTCGAATGAAAACGACTTCCTTCTTGTCAACCAGGTTTATTATCTGTGCAAACAGAATATAATGACAGCAGGAAATGGCTTCACCAGCTTTCTACCTCAATACTTCGCCTCAGTGAGGCCTAGGGTGGCCATTTCCATAACACCAAAAAGGAGGACACTTTGGGATTATCTTTTAGTTTTTATCCTGGCTTCACAGAATCCTTCACACTCAAAACACAATGAGACTAGTGTACTAACCACAAGTTGAATGTCTATTTTCGATACTTTTGCCCTTTCCTGGCTGCTTCCAAGAGTTTTTTGTTTGTAAGGAGTCTCTGGTACATGTCTGTGCACTCAAATGTTTAGTTGACACAAATTTGCAGCTCTGCCTTGACGCTGTCCACATCCAGACGATTTCTCTCATTTCTCCATGCTGAGGTCATCATTGAGAACACACGTTCTGTATGGGCATTGCTACATGGGATGGAGAAGATATATGCGCTGACCTTCCTCAGATTCACAAGTGGGACTTCTGCTTTGGAAAACAGTTTGAGATACCGCTCCTCACTGTGGCATCCTTCCATTGCTGAAGAGCTGAGAATAGCTTCCACCATGCCATATTCCTCATAGAGTCCATCCATGTCAATGTCTTTCAGGCTGCAGGCTTGGACTGCATCACTGTATTCTCCATAGGACACAGCAGTTGTGAGGCCAAGCTTTGACACTTTACTATGAAAGCTGTTCTCAGAGAAGTCATACCTTTCACTCACGTATTTCTTGGCTCTTTCATAGAAAACAAGAAAATCAGCCTCACATTTCTTTGCGAGATCAGGGGTTAGCTGCTTGAGTTTGTTGTTCACAGCAAAGCCAACAAATGTGTCCTTTAACCTTCTCTCAAGTTTCCCTTTCAGTTCAGTCATTACCTTAAACACAGAGGTTATGCTGAATGATTTGGCCTCAAGTGCTTCAATGCAGTCTGAAAACACTTTCAGAATGTGACTGAGGAAGAGAAAATACATCTCAGATACTTCGTTACCATCCTCTCCAAAGCATTTCCACAACATCTTGGAGCATTCCTCCTCACCTAGACTCTGAAAGTAGCTGGTCAGGGGTCTCCAACACTTCAGAATTCTGTCAATAGATGGCAGCAGAGACAACCATCTCGTGACAACGTGCCGCAGCAGATTGCATTCCTCCACTTCCACAAACTCGCAGAATTCCTTCAACTGCGCCGTTCTGCTAGCTGAGATGCTAAAATGGCTATACACCTTAAGCACAACATTTTCAATGTCAATATCCAAGTTGCTTGCTGCATATCTTGTTGCATTGTGCAGAATATGGGCTAAACAGTTTGCAGCGAGCACGTCTTTTTGAGCCAGTTTCAGTTTCTGATAAACACTGTTGTGTTTTCCATAGTTAACGCTGGTGTTGTCTGCTGCATATGCTGACATTTTTTTCACATCTAGTCCAGACATCTCCAGTTTAGATAGCAGCTGATTTGTTATAGCTTCTGACTTTTCGTTGCTATCACTGTAAAAATCCAACAGTGCATGTTTCACGCCCTCCTCAAAGTGAAAATATCTCAGTACAATGGGGAAACACTTGATCGTACCTTTGTTTGATGCATCACTTGCCACTGAATAATGCAGTTCATTTTCATTTATATAATCCACATGCGTCTGGACAGAGTAGGGTGCTAGGACATTTTCGCACAAAGCTTTGGCCTTTGTTTTTCCACAGGTCATCCCTTCTGCTATTGATGAGTCGTTGTAGATTGTGCGATCAACTTTTATTCCACAGTCTACACTCCTGTATGACTGGTGATGCTTGACGGCATGATACACTTTACAAAGTTCTGCAGCAGAGATGTTGTCATCTTGAGGCGATGAAGCTTCACGGATAAAAGTGAAGAGGCACCTGCGCTTTGATCGTTGCTTTTGTGCTTATCTGTGTTAGCATGTCTGTCGACAGCACCTTTTCCTTTGCTGCTTACGTCCACATCGCAACGACACAACGTGCATGGAAGTCGTCCTTTCGGCTTTTTGTGAGGAATCCATGCTCTTTCGACCATTCAGGATTAAATGAAGTCTTTCGTTTCGGCATTTCTGCGGTTTAACCCTACCGCTAACTAGGTGGAGTTGGCTCATGAGCTAGTCGGCTAGCGCTAACGTCACTCTGTGCCACAGTGCCCTGCGGTGAAC